TTTTTAAAAATTATAAATAAAAGAAGAGATCCTTGAAATAATGCCCCTTTTGTAAATTATAGCTTCCAGGAGGATTTTTCAAGTGTTAAATTCCTGAAGTTTTAGAATTTCTCCTCTAGAGGACTTTAAAATAAAGTAATAACGCTATTTAACATTTTGAGTCCTTACAGTGTATCAAGCATTATGTTAAAAGTTTTATATATATCATATCCTTTAAACTTAAGTATAGCCATCACTACATTCACTTTAAAGAAGAAAAAGTGAGGTATGGAAAGGTTAAATTGCTCTAAGTCACACAGACAGGAGATAAATGAACCTCAGATGAACATTTAGCTATTATCTATTCTTTAGTTTAGCAACATAATTAAACATTTGTTCAGGTATAGTTTATTGAGTGCCTGTTAAATTTTGTGTTTTTCTATGTCATACAGGTAATACTGATGATTCAAAAGATTTTTTGAAACATATGTAGGTAAACATTTTTAATAGGTATGTGACTTAAACTGTACTAAAATAAATATAAATTAGACATCAAAACTATGACACAGACAATACTACTTAGGATAAGGCAAATGTAAATAAGTTTTAAAAATTAAAATTGATTTAAATAAAAATATTAAAAATAACAGTTGACACTTATTGAGCATTTACTATTTGTTAAGTACTATTCTAAGGAAGGGCTTTAACATATTGATGTATATACTCATTTATTTAATCAATTACTAATATATTACTTGCATGTCAAAATTATGAAGGTGTTACTCATATGACTGAAGTGTAGAAAAATCTGATATAATTAAAAGATTTAGCTTTTGGAATCAGAAAGACCTGAATTTAATTCTGAGCTGTACCATTTAATAACTGACATGGACCAGCAAACTAAGCGTTGTTTCCTGTTAGAACATCCGTATCCAAAAACATCAGATTATCAAAATAGCCAGACTTATTTTTTTAAAAACTAAACTTCTAGAATTAAAAATATGTAATTGTCAAAATTAAGAATTCAATGGATAAGTTTAACAGTAGATTTAAAGCAACTGAAGAGAAAATTAGTAAAATGAAATAGCTCAAAGAATTTACCCAAAAGGAACAGAGAGAGCCTAGTGTCTGATAACCCTGAGATAAGAAAAAGAGAAGCTGTAATAGAAGATCTAACTCATAGCTAATATGAGTCCTAGATGCAGAAAACAGAAAGAATAAAAGGAAGCAATATTTGAACATAGAATGGCTGGAAATTTTCCAGAACCAAAGTCAGAAATCTACAGATACAGGAAGCACAAAATTTATTAAGTAAACTAAGTAGAAAGAAATCCTTCTCTAGACACATCGGAGTGAAACTGCAGCCCCAGAGACAAAATCTTAAAAGAAGTCAGAGGGGTAAGGAAGGCTGATAAGAGCTCAACAAATTGATTCTAAAATATATAGAGAAGGACAATGACCCAAGAATAGCCAAAATACTCATGAAGGAGATCAATAGGACCTATCCTACACAATATAAAAAGTTATTATGAAGCTCTATAAATTAAGATAGCTTGGTATTTGTGGAAGTACAGTCCAACAGACAAATGAAACAGAATAGAAAGCCCCAAATCACAAATATATGTAAAAAGATGGCATAGCAAAAAAATGAGTAAAGGAGACACTATTTAATATTGTTGAAACAAATGATCAGTCATTAAAAAATAGTTATTGGATTTCTATCTCACAAAATTTAATCCAAATTAAGTCTTAAATTGAAAAGGTAAAACTTTAAAAGTTAGAAAAAACTATAGGATAATATTTTTCTGATCTTGGGATTGCGAGTTTTTTTAAAACAGACATTTAAAAATGTTAAATGCAAAACAAAAGATGGATAAATTCAACTAAATTAAAATAATAACTTCTCTCATCAAAAGTACACAAAAAAAACTAAGAAAGCGAATCGCAACCTTGAGGAACATATATTCAATTCATATAAGCAACAAAAAGTTCATGTCCAGAGTATATAAAGAATAAATTGATAAGAAAAAAAAAAATGAACTCCCCAAACTGGGTAAAATGCATGAACAAGCATGGCATAGAAAAAGAAAATTTAATGGTCAAAAACTGTGAAAAGATGCTCAAACACGTTAGTAATCAAGGAAATGTAAATTAAAAGAACTAATTAGATAAAATATTTTTCCTACTAGATTGGCATATTTAAAAAATCTGAAAATACCAAGTATGAAACTGTAATTTGGTACAACCATTTTAAAAACAATATAGAATTATCTTGTAAAGTTTAACATTCATATGTCCTCTATTTCACTCCTAGATGTAAGCTCTAATGTAATTCTTAACATGTGAACCAGAAGACATGAACAAGAATAATCATATTATTGTTTGCAATAGCAAACAGCTGGAGACAATCCAAATGTCCATTATCAGGAAAATGAACATCAACTATGGTATATTAACATATTATCAGGAAAAAGAAATGAACTGATGCTGCATGAATGACACAACTTGAAGAAATTTTAGAAACATAATCTTGAATTAGTGAAGCAAATTACAAAAATCTAAAGTAGTCTGATATTTTTTATGAAGTTCAGAAATAAGCAATGCTAAGCAAATGTTATATAGGTATAGATAATTATAAAACTATATTTTTTTAAAAAAAGTCAGATTAACACACATTTCAGGATACTGGTTAGCTAGGGAAACATGGGATGGGGAGTACCACATAGTAAATTTAACATTCTAGGTCTTATTCTGGGACATAGATTCAGACTCATTTATTTTATTCATTAGATTCATAATTTAAATATATACATTGCATGTTTATTAAACATCTATCATGTATTTTATAAATGTATTTTATAATATATGTGCAAAAAAATATATGGCAGGCACATGCTGAGTGTTTTGAGCACGATTGCCCAGTCTTATATTTGAATTAGTTTTATAATGAATATTGAGGACAATGGAAGAGTTCATTTAGGCTCTGAAACTTTAAATGACATATTGATACTATCTGTAGCTCCAGAGAAATTCTATAAATTATACAGACTCAGTAAATGACTTTCCTTTTTTTTATATGAATTGAATATGATGACACGTTTTTTCCTTAGAAAAAATTTGATTTCTGGCTAAAAAGGAATAGAACACTACATATTCTTCAGATTAAGCCTGAGATTTGAAATGCAGTCTCGATTAAGCTGTAGATTCATCCTTTGTGGTTTCTGAAACTCCCTTTTGGTAATTAATATGCTAAAAAAAAAATAGAACATATTTCTTTCATGTTTCTTTAATTTTTTCTTTCAGTTTACTAGATTTTATTGTTTCCCTTTATAAAAGCAATAATCACTTCAAAATGTTCCACAATAAAGACATGTAAAGTAAAAAGTTTACCACCCAAAGATAATCTCACTTTTTGTTGTATGGTTTTTTCCTTTCTTGAGGTACATATATTTTAAATAATTGATATCGAATCGTTTTGCATTTGCTTTCGAAAGTATTTAACACAATTTATGACCTGCAGTTTCATTAGGAAAGATATTTTATCAATACAAAGTAGTCTCCAACAGCAAAATACCAAATAAAAGTAAATCAATTAAAAATCGCAATCAAAATCTACCACATCAATGTAAATGACAAATGAAAGATTCTAGCAGGTTATTAGCTTTCATTTCTAAAAAATCCTAAATTATATTCTTTAAAGTAAATGTTACTACTCATCAATATGTTATTTGAGTTTCTTAGTCCCTCAAGTGCATAGCAATACCCCCTTCTTGAAATTTGCTACCCACCAATTCACATCAGGTGGTTCTTGCATGGGAAGGTCCACGGGAACAATCTTTGAGTGCCTCAAATTTGGACACAGTGGTACAAAGACCTGGAAGTCCCAGAGACTGACAATGGGTTTTGAAAGAGTTTGTCCACTCAGTAAGGCAACATGCAGCTGGTGATCACTTTTAAAAATTGCTGGTTGCAGACAGGCGCGCGCGCGCACACACACACATAACACAGTTTGTCTTCTTTAACTAGCATATCACACTGACGGAAAAAATACGAGACTGGTTAGGTAAGAAGGAAGTCAGAGCAGAGTCTTACTACAGTACTCTCAGATAGCGCCTATAAAGGGTGGCTCAATTGGACCAGATTTTACCTGTCCCCTTCATTAGTATAAATATAAACGGCATTAATCTAGACATGGTCCTTTCTCATCTAAGGACTCTGCGCACCACCTGAAGTTTAAGACCTGGCACTCGTGAAGCATTCTCCCACTGTTCCACCAACTTTGTAGCCCAAGTAAGTTTGAGCATACTCTGAGCTGACTTGTCCTCAGGAAAACACAAACATAAACATGGGCTTTCGGACGGCGGGGAGCCGGGGGTGGGGGGGTGCTGGTGGGAGCGGGCCTAGCATACTGTCAGGTTGGAAGCCCTACAGCATAAATCTATTCTGAAGGCACGGAGGGCTTTATTAAAACTGACTCCTCTTAGCTTTTAGGCATTTGACATAATACGTGAAGAGCCCAGAATATGGAATATAACAAACATTAGAACGACACAACATCTTGAAGAGCAGCCGCGTAAACCGCAGCCTCTCCAGAACCGAGGCTGTCCAGCCGGCAGCTTCCCCTTTAAGCACCTGCGGGCCCGCCCCGCGGAGGAAGCCTCCCGGAAGTCACTGCGCACTGCCACGAAGTGAGATTCCTCCGCCGATCGCAGCGCTTGGTCCTGCGGCTTCGTACCGGTCTACCCTAGATTCTTCCCTTCCCACCCGCCTTCTCAAGTGTGCTGTCTGCCGCTTCTCTGGCCAACAGACTCAGCGACCCTTCCCACCGCCACTCGGACCTAAGCCCGGTCTGCTCTGCTAGAACCCGACCGTGCTGCCGACGGGGTCCGCCCCCGACACGCACTTCCGTCGACGCGGAGGCAGGGACTGAGCCGGGAAGGGAGCAGGGCGAGCGGCTGGCGGTCATGATGTAGGCCCTCCTGACACAGAACCATGCCTTGCGCAGGGAGAACAACGATCTCATGAACTGGGTGCGGCGGCTGCTGTGCGAGAAAGCCAACCTACTGGGCCAGGTGCGTCCGCCGGCCTGCCCCGTGGCCTTTCCCGAAACGTTTACAGGCGACTCCGCCCGGCTTCCCGAATTTTTGATCCAGGCGGCCGCTTACATGAGGATCTTCGAGGCCAGATTCTCGAACGACATCCTAAAGGTGGCATTTTTAATCAGCCGCTTCTCTGGGGCGGCAGAGGAGTGGGTAGTACCCTACACTGAGAGGGAGAGCCCCATCTTAAGTCATTACCCGCGTTTCGTGGACGCGCTGAAACGGGCCTTTGGCAGGAATGGTTAGAAAACAACTGAGTCTGGACCGCTCGTGTCTGGAGGGATGGCTGCGAGCCACTGCTCTCCGCACAAACTAGGCCCTGCTTGGCTTTGATTCACAAAGAGCTCTCCAGTTCCCAGCTGCTGGACCCCGACACTTGCTTGGAAAGTTTGGCGGTCGCTTGTTTCTACCATCCCACTGCCTTTGCACTCTGCCCAGCAACCCAGTCACAGGCTAGGGGCCTGTTAGAAATTAAATGGACCACCCAGGATTACGCCCTTTCCATCTGGGAAGACTATTGCTGACCGCCCTTGAAAATCGGGGCCAAACTGGGAAGTGCTTGAGTTTGCTACACAAACCCCACGGACACAGATTGGGATAGCTCAGGCCCTGGGATAGCGTCCAGGTTTAGTGTGTAGTGTAGTGTTCCTGGCACCCAAACTTTGACATTTCTCTTCCTAAGAACCAGTTTTACACATACTTCATTTCTGTTCTGAAAACACAAGATCGTAGATTGTGCATTTGGTTAGAGAAATTCAGGCACTTGACACTACATGGGAAAAAAATATTTACTTTTAAAAATTTAAATATATATGTCTTACATTACCGTATGCCAAGTATTGTTCTTGGTGTTACAGGAGAAACAAAGATGAATAAGACAAAATAGATGTCCTCAGAAACAGTTGTGTTCTGAGAAAAAAATTTGAAGTGCATATTCTAATGTCTGGTAAAGTAATGCTTTTGAGTGTAAAGAATGGCACATTTTGTTTTTTGGGGTTTTTTTAATGGCCTTTTTTATTTTTTGCCCCATAGTTTAAAAATATATGTTAAAAACATGCAACTTAGAAAGGAGACAGAAAACCCACTTGAGCAAATTTTATGTTTGCTGTTCAATCTGGTGAGGATGATGTTCTCTAAAATGCAGGTAACTGGTGGCAAAAAAAAAAAAAATGGGTTGGTGTACTCTTTGAATTGTATCCACTTGGCTTTATTTCTTTGTTAAATAACTTAGCTCCCTCATTTTCTGTGAATAACATTTTGGCCTGTTTTTCTATAATTAAAGGCATTACTTGATCATTAAAATCTGGTTCAAAATTCTGTGATTCTTATGTAACCAAAGAATGGGTAAGAAATGGAAGGAGTCACTGCAATCTTCTAAGGAGGAAAATTCATAACTATTTTTTCTTAAAAGTCCATGGGTTTTATTATTTTGGTATTCAGTATAATCTCACTGAAATGTCTTCTTGAATTCCTGGTTAGCCATTTTCATATTCAGAAAAATTAATCACTGCCTCCTTGGACAATTTATATGAGGACCATAGGAAAAACCTAATTATATTGTTGCAGGGTGTGATTAAAGACAGGTTATGGCAATTAGTTTATCGTTGCTAGTTAGCATTACAAGAATTCATAAGGAGACTGGGTCCCTCAACATCACCTCTTATATACTACACTTTTGTAGTACATAAGTGTAACTGATATGTACTAACAAAATAAACTGAATCTTGGGCTGACTGGCTGATGATTTCAAAGCAGTATTTTTCTGACAGTAAAAAAATCTACAGATGATAGCACCAAAATTTTTTTCAATAAACCTCACAAGAGCACATATTTGATAGGATACAAAAACTTTCTAATGGAAGATCCGTATCAAGACATAATTAGTCAAATAGAGCATGAAAAAATGTAACTCAAGTCAAAATATCTCATACTTAATTTTCTATAGCTACCTCTTTTTTGTTGAGGATCACTAGATCACCAAAAGTAAATAGGAGAAGAAAGTACTTGAGGCTTGCTTATAGTTACACATAGAGAAAGGAATAGGGAGAGAAGGTCACTGGTAAATGATCCACATAAGATTTTTCCACAGCTGAAATCAAGTCATAACAGGTTATGATCAAGTCATCGTTTTCTTTAGTCTTCTGCTGAATGATTTCCAGGGAATCATTCCTCATTGGTTCTTTATCAGGCTCACTTAGATGGCCAACAGGCTACTGGGACCTTAGGACCTGAGCAATGTCCTCACCTGCTAGATTTTCTCTTCTGAGTGGGCCTTTAATGCTTGGTATCTGATCTTAACATTTTAATTCATAATATGTAATTCTCAGTATACTTCTTCAGCCATTCTTCATTCTCAGGATAGCCTTCAATCCTTTATGCTTCTCAAATCCCTTGAAAAGTCAGAAAAAGATGTGTTCCATGAAGTATCTGTAGTAAGTTGAAGTGCTTTCAAACCTAGATTTCAGCTTTGACAAGTTTCTTCTGTTTCTGAGCTGCCTTTATCACTGGGGGTAGTCCCTAAAAAAAAAAATTTGTCTATAACTTTCCCCATTTCCAGGCATTTTATGTGGAGGTCCTCATATTTGCTTTCCAATTCCAGATTTTCTATTTGCATAGCTTTAACCACCATGTTCAGGTCCTTCTGGGTAAGCTGCAGTATATCTATTATGGGACCAATGGACAGACAGCCTGAGGACATATAGGGGAGAGTCCATCACAGGAATATCCAGAGCTCCTAAGAAATCAAATGCTGCTATCCTTGCTTTAGGTGAACTTCCTCAGGAAGTCCTGGCATCATGAATGCTGTTTGTCTCCTGGGACCACAGAAACCAATTTATTAGGGCTATCTTTCAGTAGTGTGTCAAATGTGAGATATAAAAGACCTTACCAAAGCAGACTCCTTAAATGAGGATATTTCAAGCTGCTTCAAATAGTCCATCTCAGCCTTGGTGCCTAGAACTTCAGCTGGTACTCTGAAGCTCTTCTGTCTGAGGTCCGCGGCAGGCCCTGGCTTGTACTGAGAGGAGAGCAGGGCCCACTGCCTGAACTGCTTATGTAAACTGATACACTCGAACCCACTGTTCCTCCCTCACCCGCTGCTCTCAGAGTATCCCCTGAAAGTATCTTTTTATCCTCAAATGATTCCAATTTGCATCCAAAATTGAGGAGCACTGATGAAGGATAGATTAGTCCCCTAGTAGAGAGCCTAGGGTCCGTGTGAAAAATGGCACAATTTTCTAGTTTCTCTTTAGTTTGGCATGTATGACCTGACTTGCACATTTTGTGACCTACCAGAAAATCAGGGAATTCTTCATATATTAGAGAATGTACTCCAGCCAAATGAGCAGATTTTTTTATAATGCTTTTGCTTTTATTTTCCTCTATGATGCAGATTAAGATCTGACTATCTTGGCGAAACTAAGGTTCTAATATCTTTATTCCAAACATCTTAATTTCTTGCCAGTAAATTGAAGGTAATGTGCTAGCAGAGCAGGTGACTGCCTATGTAATGCAAACTTTAGATATCTATTAATTCAGGTCAAATAAAATCCTCTTGCCTAGATCCTTTTAAAATGGCCTGTTCTCAACAGTTCTCTACAGCAGCAGTCCCCAACCTTTTTGGGATCCAGGACCAGTGCTCTTATGAGAATTTAATGCCTGATGATCTGAGGTGGAGCTGAAGTGGTGAAGCTAGCGCTGGGGAGCAGCTACAAATACAGATGAAGCTTCGCTCTTGCCCGCTGCTCACCTCCTACTGTGTGGCTCAGTTCCTAATAGGCCACAGACATGTACCAGTCCTCAGCCCAGGGTTGGGGACCCCTGCTCTACAGTGATTCTCCAACTTTAGGGAGCATCAGCATCACTTGAAGGAAAACAGCATCACTTATTAAGAAAACACAAATTGCTTGGCCCTACCTCCAGAGTTTCTAATTGACTAGGTCCAGGTGGGGTACATTTCTAAAGTTCCTAGGTGATGCTCATGCTGTTGGTGTAAGGGTAAAACAAATTATAAATAAGAAAAATATTCATGCTAAGCGAAATAAGCCAGACAGAAAAAGTTGAAAACCATGTGATATCACATATATGGGATATAAACCTAAAAGCAACAAACAGGACAAACAGACTCGTGGATGCGGACAATAGACTAGTGATTACCAGAGGGGAGGGCGGAAGGAGGGAGGAAGATGAGGTGAAAGGGGTCAAATATGTGGTGACAGAAAGAAATCTAACTGGACAATGAACATACAATGCAAAATATGTATGACTTATTGTTGAATTGTACACATGAAACTTACTAGGTTTTTTAATATGCCCACACATTCTCTTCTCTTCAAAAGATAGAGTTTAATTTATTTTCCCTTATTTGTGGGCCAGACTCAGTGATTTGCTTCTAGTGAGTAGAATGTGTCTGAAGTGATGGTGTATAGATTCTAAGACTAGATTATAAAAGGTAGTGTGGCTTTCATGTTGGTATCTCCTGGATTCTTAGCTCCGGGCAAAGTCAGATGCCATGTTGAGAGGACACTAAAATAGCCCTAAAAGAGTTCCATGTGGTTAAGGAACTGAGGCCTCCAAGAGCTGATATAAACTTACCAAGTGGGGGTACCATCTTGGAAGCAGATCCTTGAGTCCCAGTCAAGCCTTCAGAAGATGGCAGCCCAGCCAACATCTTGACTGAAACCCTAGAAAAGACCCTAGGCCAGAAGTAGCTAGCTAAGCTGCTCCTGAATTCCTGACCCATGATTCCTGTGGAATCATACATGTTTATTTTAAGCCACAAAGTTTTGGGATATTGTTATGCAGCAATAATGATACACACATTATCAAATTGATATATTATGGATGGAGAAAAAAAGTTGCAATGATGGAATAAGACGAGGTGTTTGTTAGTCCTACAGCACTAAGTCTGGTCTCTGACTTAGTTACTGTGTATGACTGGGGAGGAGGGAGCACATTCAAGGTGTGACTCAACTCTTTTCTTTCCAGGATTCTTACTGTTGGGACATACACAAAAGGACAGATTGACAAATGAAAATAAAGCAGCATTACTGATTAATTCCTAGGCAAACACCCTGTAATGTAGGGCTTCTAATAGACTTGGGGACTACATGGGACTTCATACATTTCTTCAGGATTTTAGGCAGCTGAGGCCTGGATTGCAATAACTCAAATGAGAAAGGAAAGGGTTTGGGTCTAAGGAAGAGGCAACAGAAGTGGAAAAGAGGGGATAGATTTGAAGTATGTTT